AGAGAGAGAGAGAGAAACGCACCTTGGTCGTCCAACTCTTCACAACCTCAGAGAGAAAGAGAGACAAACGTTGTCCAGCATCTTCCCTCCCGCTCTAGCACTCTCCCTCTCCACTCCAACACTTGCCTTCTGTGTTCTCGCAGACACGGGAACGCACATATAGACATCGATGTGTGCAACCTGCGTCCCCATGTCCACATCTCGGATTCGCTCACTTCCCCCTCATCCTCACCTCCCGAACCCCCCGCCACGGATGCTGACATTCCGAAACCGCCATGCCCGCACACAACCAAAAGGGCACGGCGCGCTGAAACGGCCAACCCCTCGCTAACCCCTCGCATCCTTCCCCTCCGCCCCAATGTCGCGTCCCGATACTTGGCGAGCCGAAATAACAAAACCAAACACACAGGGCCAATCCCTATCCTTTCCCCCCGCCCCAATGTCGCGTCCCGGTGCTTGCAGGTCCCAAAAATCCAAACGAAACTCTGAATACTCACCTCCCCCACCCCAATACGCCGTCCCGATACACGCGAGGCGGAAACGACCAACCCCCCGGCCCAAACCGACAAACCCCCCGCCCCTCCGATAGGGCCGACAACAACGAAACGAAACGACAAATCGGCCTGCTACCATCCGCGCGGGACCGCCGGGACTGCCCCGCCAGCGAACCGGGTCTCACGTGTTGTCAGGCAGTCGTTGATGCTTGACCACAACTGGGCTTAAGGTGGATTACTATTTACGGTGTAATCAGTTAGGGGATTCTGCAGACTGTTGAGGGTTCAAGCTCCTGATGATTCGGTGAAACTCCTAGGAAACTGCCCGGTAAACCGTAGCCTCCGTAGGCAGAGAGGGAGAAGAGGACAACAAACGAGGGGCTGTGACAAACTGCTTCATCGGAGTTTCACCGACTCATCAGGAGGCTGAATATATTATATATATATAATATTGTTAGAAACTTCCAAACACGGATTGAGACACAGCTGATTTCTGAGTTTTGCTCATGGAATGTATGCTTTGCTGAGTTTCCCGCTTGTTGCTGAGTTTTCTCAGTCTCTGGGTGTGCGTGCTTGCTGGTCTGCATGCCTGTCTGAGTGTTTGCGGCTTGAGTGTGTGTGTGACCCACAAGGGCACTTGTTCGTCCGGAAGGGCCGAAGGGCCGGTACTTACCTGTGGCCATGACATTGAGGGTTGCAGCGGGGAAAACACTCAAGTGGGGGGGAAAGAGGCCCGTGACATGTAGAGCAGCGGAAAAACACTCAAGTAGCCAAGTAGAGGTAGATGTGCCGGGTACTCGAGGCTGAGCAGAAGAAGACAAAAGTTGGCATTTTTAGAGGCCCAGTAGTTGTAGGCTAGGTCTAGGGGGGTACCAGTCCAACCAGTCTGAGTCTAGGGCCTGTACTATCAGAGTCTGCAATGATGTTTCGCTCCGAAAGGGAGGAGGTACCGGTTGCTTCGAGGCCGCGTGGCCTAGGAAGTCACCGCCTAAGAGGCAAGCAGGCCGCTATATCTCCAGGAGGACAACAAACGACGGCTGTGACAACGTGTTTCATCGGAGTTTTACCGAGTCATCAGGAGGCTTTATTTTCCTTGCCCATCAGAAAAGTACAGAAAAGAAGAGCAGGCCAAAGACGAAAACCAAAACGAAATGCAAATCACCTTATTGTTCGAAAAGAGGAAAAAAAAGACCTTTCTCGGCCTTTTGGCTGAAAATAGATATGCACAGCATCTGTTGTGAATTTTGTGATCAGTTTAATATCTTCATCAGTGTGCATCAGGCCGCAATAATAATAATAATAATAATAATAATAATAATAATAATAATAATAATAATAAATTAATAATATAAAAGAGAGGAGAGAAAAAAGAAGAGAATCAAGAATCGGACTGAATCACCTTACACTTGGAAAAGAGAAAAGAAAAGACGAGAGAAAGAGAGTGAGAGAGAGAGAGAGGGAGGGAGAGAGAAAGAGAGAGAGACAGAGAGAGGAATTACCTTATAGTCAAGGTTTTCTCCGCAATTGAAGACAACACACTGCACCCCTAACGCTTTCCCAAGGTCCTTTGTCGTTTCTGTTTTCCCCGTCCCAGCTGGGCCTGCTGGTGCTCCTCCCAGTTTCAGGTGCAACGCACCTGTTAGAGTCATATAACATCTATCTGTGAGGGGGGTTATCACCAGTCTAGATTGGGCGCCAAGATATTCGTAAGCGTAGATGAACTTTGCATTTGTCTGTCGTACTATGCAAGTCTCTGTCGCCTCTTCCCAGTAATACCTTAGCTGCATCTGCCACCCAAAGTCGTTGATGTTGAGAATCTTCTGGCTGTCCCAGTGCCGGTGTTGTTCATTGTTTCCCCGTGTTGATCATTAATATGATGGTGATGATGATGACAGTGATGGTGATGATGATGATGATGATGATGATGATGATGATGATGATGATGATGATGAAGATGAGGATGAGGAGGAGGACGAGGAGTGATAATGGTTGTGGTGATCAAATGATGATGATGATGATGATGATGATGATGATGATGATGATGATGATGATGATGATGATGATGATGACGATGATTTTGAGAACAGGAATGTCGTCGTAGTGGCACCACCCAAAGTCAGACAGCCGCCATCAACAAAAGAAAAACAAGAAAACGTTCAAATTTCAAAAGCAATTACCATCATGTTGAATCAATGGCGTGGAGGCCTCTTTGTCATTGAGCGGGGTCAGAGGGTGTTTAAAAGCGGGTGGGGTGCACAGGAAAGACAAGGGAGGAAAAGTGCGTGCCGAAGAAACCGCCAAAAGTAAGTTCAGGGATTCTACAGAGAATTTGTGGCGTTCTGAATTTGTTTGTGTAAACTCACTTCTCTGAAGTTCCGAAGTAATCATGACGAGGGTGACAAACTCTCCTAAACCACACTGCCCTCCATCCATCTCTCTCAAGAGATGTGTGTCATGCACATTACTCGCTTAGGAGGGTGCCCCTCTTTTCTTCTTGTTGGCACACACTCATACACACAAGGAAAATGCAATATAAGTTATACAACGGATTTATCGTGCTTCATGTTGTTTACAATAGAGGTAAAACTGTTTCAATGTGTTGGATTTGCTCATCTTAGTGTGCTTCATTGTCTGATGTGAAAATAAAGCTATGTGGCAAAAGTTCACACACACGCACACACAGTACATGAGAGGCACGGTAAATGAGGAGCTGCAAGAACAAACGAAAGGGGTACCCCAAAGAAAGCAAACGTGAACACAATTAAGAAAGGGGTTTACATGCCTCTATTATACTCCATGTTGCTTGCTATAGAGGTGAAACTGTTTTATTGTCAGGATTGCCTCAACTCAAGGGCTTTCGTTGTCTGCAATAGGATTGAATATGCTTTGATTTTGGATCTGCTCATCTGGGTGGAATAGGGGCTGTTGTGGTGAAAATTCAGAACACACACACACACACACACACACACACACACACACACACACACACACACACACAGAGAGAAGGGGATGTTGAGGCAATAGTTTACGCACGCACACACGCACATAGAGTCATATTTCTCATCTTTTATTTTTCTGTTGTCGACTTTGTACGCTCTCCTCTGTGTCTAAGTGAGCACATTTATGATGTGCCCAAATAGTCAGTCACTGGTGCCTGTTTGTTTGTATTGCCTGCAACACTACTTGGGGGGCTGCTGCCTGTGTGTCTGTGTGTTCCATGGGTGATGACAGACATTTCTCGAATTGATTCCCTGGCTCCAATGGTGGTGTGAACCTACAGTCTGTAGAGTTCTACTTGTGGTGTGAGCAGGTGATGAACTGCTTTGGTCCGTGATGTATGAGTGGACTTCCTTGTCAGTTCTGCCTTGCTACCTGGCTGCGCTTCCGCTTGCCTTTTGTTGTTGCCTTGTCGGTGCTGCTCCACTGCTTGGTTTCCCTCTCATCTGCCCTGTGTGTTGCCTTGCTGGCTGGCTGTCATCCACGTTGCACTTTCCTGTACGTTGCTGGCTTGTTGCCTGGCGGCCTTGTTGCCTTGCTGCATTTGTCGCCTTGCTGCTTTCTTGTCTGCTGCTCTTTGTGCTGCCCTGCCGCTTCCCTGCCCTATGTCCTATGTGCTTCGCTTTTGCTTGCCACCCAGTGCCTTGCTGCCTTGCCCTTGCCTTGTTGCCTGTCATGTCATCTGCTGACCACCCACTTGCCACAGGCGTTAATGAAACAGTTTTCACCTTTGGCAGTAGCCGATGCAGATCCCAGGGGTCGATCCCTTGACCTCAGCTTACCTGTGTACAGTATCTGTACAGTTCCCTGGAGTTGAACCCGTGACCTGCACGATAGCCAGTGGTAAGTAGGTCACCGTAGGTTGTAGGCTGTAGGAAGATTCGAACTGTAGACCTGTAGGGTAGGAGTCCAAGTAGAGTCCAGAAGCCCAGCTTTAG